CTCATGTTGTTTCTCTAAGTCAGCCACCTGGATTCTCAAGCGTTGGTTTTGATGTTGATTGTCTGCCAATCGCCTTTGAGCAGTCTTCAGCTGTTCCTTCCAAGCTCTTTCATTAGGCCCCTTGAACTTCCTTTTCAGACTGTGAGCTTCATTTTTCCAGTATTCAGAGGTTACTTTCAACTTGGAGTTATCCTTTACTTTATCCTGATACCACTTTCTCAAATCTTCGAGCTCAAAACGGACCGTTTTCTTTTCTCTTTCCAGTTTGTTTGCTCTATCTTTCTGAGAGTCGGCACCTAGCTTCCATTGATAATGTTCAGCTTCAAGTTCCTTAATCCTCTGCTTCAGCTCGTTATTCACAGCTTCAAACTCTGCCTTGGCTATTTCAATTTCAGAAGGGACATGCCTGAGATATTCCTCCATGGTCCGGGTGTCTTTACAGTCTGGCACCGAGATGTTATCATTCTTTCTTAGCCTTCGCCACTCTATATAATCCGGAGTAAGCATGTCTCTGGTAGCTACAACATCTATCCGTAATACTTTCTTCCACGAATCACTGTTTCCTTGATCATCTTCTTATAACTGTCACCCTGATACACAAACTCTGATCTAGCTAACCCGCATGTTACCGGGATAAACTGATGTGCCCCATACTGTCTAAGTGCTAGCAATGGAGCATACCCAACTACACCCTAAAGTCCAAGTAAGGTTATAGTGTCAGAATCCCCGCACCGGAAAAGAACGTCACCGATGAACAACCAATGGGCTCTCCAGGTAATATCTCGATCTTGAAATATGTAAAGACTTTCATCCAGTTTTCTTTTGAAGCACCTTCATGCCATTTCCTAGTGATGAATTCTCCAAAGGTGAATAGGTAGTGTTGAATCGGCGATATGCCACCCCATTAGTCTTCCAAAAGTGGCTGTGAATCCAGACTTGAAGGAGCTAAGTACACCCCTCGAACATTCCTCCACCAGTTCTTCTGCAATGGTTGAGAGATCGAAAGGTTTCGGCTAAGATGGCCAGTGCTGAGTTGACTCGCTTCGGGAGTTGTTCAAATAGCTCTACCACAGCCGCATCAATGTAACCCAAAGTCTTCGGGAATATAATTAGACCATACAGACCTAGTGCAAACAGGTCTATTCCCTTCCACTCATCGGGATGGTTCTTCATCAGTTTCTTGATATGAAGCCAAGCAATTCCTTCCCCACTGCCTTTACATCGAGCCCGTCAGTTACCCATTTTTCGTCAACCCCAGCAACCTTGGCTAGTGCATTCTTGAAAGGCTGGCTTTTGATGTGTTTAAGGTAGACCCTCTCTAGTATGATACTTTCACAATGCAACAGTGTAGTGTACTCTTCAATGGTGGGGACCATGTCATCCTGATTAAAAGTAAAGCAACTGTATCCCGGGTTCCAAAATTGAACCGAGGCTCTAATTAAGGGCTCATCAGTCTTGACATGAAGCAAAAGTGCAATGTCACCGTACCGTTGGCTGAACTTCTGTTTCTGATCATTCTTCCAACTGTCCCAGATGTCTCGAAGCTCTTGAACATCGTTATACTTTAGGATGATAGAGGCATAACTAACTAGCTCTGACACATAGCTTCTTGAAGACTGTCTCCCTTTTCCTTCTGAGTCTTCTCGGACCATAGTCGTACCTCAGGCTTTTTAATCTCTTGTATTACAACATCTTTGTCCATTTGTTCAGATTATTTTATGTGTAATAAATGCTTTTTTAGGGATCAATGGCCTCTTGTTATGATGCAAATGCTAAAAAACAAACACAGGCAAAAAGTTAGTACAATAAAAATACATAAATAAATATAAAATGACGAAAGGGAAAAAACAAACAAAAAAGAAACATGGTTAGGGTAAAAATATCCTAGGTTTTGGAATGTGGTTTCGGGGTAGGCTCTAATTCTCCATAGTCTCTCGATCTAGGTTCTAAAAAATAGTACCCGAGTTCTCCTTACCAGCGCCCCCTTGGGCTTACCAGACCCTTAGTCCTAAACCCATCACAGGCTTGTATGGACTAAGTTAAACTCGAGAGGACACATTCCCTTATGTCTATGCGGAGAATAAATTCACACGAAGACATAAGGTATATGAATCCCGAAGGCTACTTGCTAGGCCTATGCGGTGAATAAATTCACACGAAGACGTCGTTTTCACCCCCACTTAAAAAATGGGTTTGGAGCTCGGGTTTAGAGCCTTAAGTGAAAAATGAACTTTGATGGCTGAAATCATTAGAAAACGATTAGTACAACTATTTACTTGAAAATATAATCAAAAGTAAGTAAAAAGGATTGAAATGTTACCTTAAAATTTAAACTTACCATTTTCGTTAAAAAGACAACTAGAAATTACCTTAGCCTGACTCACTTACCTGTTTCCCCAGCAGAGTCGCCAAGCTGTCGGAACCGCCTTTCGGTTGGACCCCGGAATTGGGCTTCGACTTAAGAAAATGGGTTAGAGTCGCCACCGATCTTTTGTTTTAAAACCAAATAAGTAGATCAGATACCTTATTTTATACCTGATTTGCGTCTTACCAGAAATGTGTCGGGCTCGAGAGTCGGTTACGGTCAAAGAAGGATTAGCACCCTTGAACCACCCTTTTGGTACTATGTAATTTCCAATTGTCTTTAATTAAGAAAGTTGTAAATTTACATTAAAAGGTAAAATAACGATCCAAATTACTTACCTCTAACCGTTTTGAAAACGTATCCTAAAAAAATCAAGAGAAAAGTTAGAAAAGCAAAGGTGAGGAAGATAAATTGAAAATAAAGAAAGTGAAATAATGAAGAGAAAAATAAATAAATAAATAATAAATACAACAAGTAAACAACACAATTAACATGTAGATAGTGAAAATGCAAGGAAAAAGGAAAAAATAAAGATAAAATAGAATAAGATAAATAAAGAAAAAATACAAATAAATAAAATAAAGATAAAGGAAATAACAATAAAATGGATAAAAAACGGAAAAAAGGTAAAAAAAAGAAATAAAATATACATGCACATATTAGCGTGTAAACTAAAAAATATTAGGAAATAAATATTGAAATATATATATATATATATGTAAATAATATAACATGTAAATAGAATAAATAAATAATAAAATAATAATAATATGTGTAAAATATAAGAAAAAACTAAATAAGAAAAAAAATAAAGGAATAATATAAGCTATATAAATATTATAATGTGACATTAAAAAAATAAAAATTGAAAAGTAGAGTTAAAATTAGAAAAAGGACTAAATTGTGAAAAAAGGAAAATTGAGTTACAAAATGAAAGAAAATCAGGTTCAAAAATTGATTTCAGGATCAAAATGGAAGTTTTAAAAGTTAGAGAGTCCAAGAGCGTAGTTTACCCTCTTTATTTCAGAAACACGCAAGTCATGCTTTTGGGTCGGGTTGACGCGCGAGTCGTAATAGGGTTATCGGGTCTGATATTTCAGTCAAAAGCCTATTTTAATTTCTCATTTTTTCTCATTTGAAACCGAGTGCCCCCTATCTCTTTTTTTCTCTGATTTGTTCATCCCCTGGGATGAACACCGCCGTGGGGTTCGATGAACCCAGCATCCGGTCACCGCGTGTCCCTCGCCGGCCGTCGTTCATCGGCGTAAAACTTTATTTTTTTTGTTTTTCGAAAGCTTTTCAAAATTCCTTTTCAAAAATCAAAATATTTCTTTAAAACAAATGGGCCTCGGGGCTACATCTAAGAAAATAGATCTCGAAAACGCCCCATTCATCGGCCAAAAACTTTCTTTTTGTTTTCTTTCGAATCAAAACACAACGAAAGGAGATAAAAACGACATGTAGAGGATCGAACGAATGAAAAGGTACGCAAAAAATATACCTTTATTTTATTTCCACTTCGAACAATGCTTCCAAAACTGTTACAATATTCTTTTGAATTTTGCGACTCTCGTAATCTCTCTTTTTGCTAGCGTAGTTCTGTGATAAAAACCAGTGTGTGTTTGTGTTCTATTTTACATGCGATTTATAGCCTCGGATTTGGCTATTTTAGAGTCCGATATGGACTCAACTTCTTCGATTTTTGAGTGCTTGAGTAACTCTTGACTATTTGTTGTTCATTGTCGAGGAACGTGATTGCGTGGGGCGAGAGAATCGGCGTCAAATACGGGCTGTTGGAGCGAGACGTGCTGCCGCGGGACTGTTGCGAAGATAGAGGTGTGCGATGCTGACAAGGCTAGGGTTTGAGACAACCCTAGATATCTTTTGTTTTGGACAGTTGGATCTCATCTAGATCCAACGGTTATAATTGCTGACAGCGGGAAGTATTGGTTTAGGGTTTTTGGAAACCCTACGTGTTTGGGCTCACATGTTTGGGTCATGTGCAGTTGGGTCTCGTGTAACGGGCCTGCAAATGTAACAGATATATATGTAAATATGTATGCACCATATGTACAAAATGAATAATATATTATGTATATATATTATATAATATTAAAAGATAAAATTTGGTATCTTCAACCATAAGAAATCAAACTCAACTATAATATCACAATATTCAAAATAAAGAATAAGGCTAATCTTTTTGTTTTAAAATTACAACCATAATTCATAATTCATTGAAATACGAAAAATATATCCATACTTGAACTAAAATAAATATACATGAAACTCGCAACTTATATGCCAAATCTGTCAAAATTCATTCGGTATGTATAGGTGCATTAAAAAATTTATATTAAAAGATACGAACTTAAAATATTATATTAAAATTTAATAAATGTGAAATTATAAAATCTCAGTTAATATAAAACTAGATAATTTATATAAAACAAAAAATTATCTAAAGTATAAGAAAATTTAAAATTTCTAAAGATGGGATCGCACCGTCCAGCACCTCACAGATCTGCCGCATGCCAACCTATAATTTGGTTTCTCAATGACTTATATTTCAATATAAATATGAATCAAATGATTTCACTTGTTAAAAGATTTCAAGATTGGAGCACCAATTTACCTTTTATTTCATAGGATTTTACAAGCGAGTTCGAAGGAAAATTGTTTTCCTTTTAGAATCCTCAAGTTCCATTCCTTTAAGCCTTGGGGTATCTTCTTCAATGGATCTGATCCTCCACCACCTTTGTCTGTAACTGTCTTACTTTGTTGTTTATTGTCTTCCATTTTTGTTGATTGTCTCTTCTCCTCTATTACTTTCACATCTTCCAATTTCAATCTCTTTCCCTCATCTTTTAACCTTTCCTGCACAATCGTTTGGTACAGTTTCTTCCCACCTGCCATTCTCGCACCAAAGATCAATGGGAACCCATTGTAATAAAGAACAAAATTGGAACAAATTGATTGGCATGTGAAAACAATACAATTGAAGATATCATCGCGATTATTAGAATTACAACATTTTGATATTAATATATAACAATTAGAATTACAATCACACAATTTGTAATGCTTTTTAAACCTAAAACCATTTGTGAATTCGATCATGGATATCGACTAAAAACATAAAACCCAGAAAATATCATTGTGGTTTTATGCAAAAATGGACAAAACAAGCTAAATCAAAGTTTAATTTATGTGAAATTCAAGTGAGCCCAGAGAGGATACAGGGAAAGAAAACGAGCCAGTGAATCCTTTGAGGGAGAAGTTAATGGCCAAATCAAGCGCAAATTTGCCCAGGTTCATTAGGAAAGTTCCAATATTGAGGCTTCGATCAGTGTTCGAAACGTTGCGAGAAATATACGCCATGACCGAAAGCTACAAAGACAGACAGAAAAAAAGAAGTAAAAAAGAAAGAGGACTCAAAAAAAATAAGAACTGAAGACTGAGATCACAGAGATAGGTGATTGGAACTAATTCACACGTGCGAAATCCACCGCCAAATAACTACGTTTGGAACGCGTGTGAGAAACACACTCGAAAAAGATTTACGTGGAATCTTGGGACTTCCAAGTTTTACGTGGAAGTCTCATAATTTGAATAGTATTTATTTTGGGTTAAATTCCATGTTTAGTAGTTAAATTATCAATTTTTTTCATTTTAGTACTTAAACTATCATTTGTTTTAAAACCATAGCTAATGTTTACTTTTTGTTTGATTTCAGTACCTGCCGTTAAATTCAGTGACTGATAGGAGTGAGAAGATAGTTGAGTGATGAATGGTGTAATTTACCCATTAAAAGTGCCATGTTGTAACAGTTTCGTTAAGTTTTTAACGGCGATGTACCAAAATATTAACAAAAAGTAAACGTTTATTTTGAAATAAATAAAAGTTTAAGTACTAAAACAAAATAAATTTGATAGTTTAGGTACTAAACTTGTAGTTTACCCTTTATTTTTTCACACCTTTGAAGAAAATCCTCTATAATTATTAAATCTAGTCAATAAAGATCCTTGAAAACTTTCATCCTCTGAACAAGGCCTCTAGACGTACCTTGTAGACATCGCACCACCTCCAAAATACCCTCCGTCGGGGTTGCTCTATGAAGTTCATATTCCTCAGATGGTTATTGTCCTATGATTAGACCTTTGTTAGTCCCATGTAATTTACTAGAGGTAAACTTGCTCCAACAATTGTTATCATATTAACATTGTTTAAGTCAGTCTACAAATAGCCATCGTCATCACAGGTCTGACACCATCCGCCTTATAGTCGTGATATTTATACCCTAAGGAAAGGTTGAAAGAATGGGCTTTCATTCCACTTTTTTTCTTCTCATTATTCACTCTCATTCCCTCTAGATGCTTTCATCTCTCACAAAGAAACACCAACTCACGATCAAGTGCTCACCATTGCAAATCTCCAGTCAAACCAAAAGTGATGAACCGCCAACGAACGATGAGACAAACTTGTTTCCAATAACAATTGGTGCAATGAGCGTGAACACCTCCTAACAAAAAAATAGTTGAAATGAAACCTTTCATCTCATACTCAAACATCCATGTAAGTCCGCAACCTCTTAATATATTTAAAAGTTTGTTAGTGTAGCTCTTGATCTTGTGGCATGTGATATATTCACATCCTCCACTATGTTTCTATAGTGTGAGATGTCTCTATTGTGTTGGCATAGTGGGGATATCTCTATTTTTTACAAAGAGCATTAAGTTGCCTCCGCTCTGAGTGTTGAGATGCATTCACTCCCTTCTAGATTCAAACATCATTGTCACTAACGATCAGACAAAAATTTTGAGATGTCTCCAAACATGGAGAAGCCTTTGTATGCTAACTATATAACGTTGTGTTTCCTCAATACCTACATAACCATGAGTTGCCTTTACCCTAGCTTACGGCTACTAATTTACCTAATGGTTCAAGATGTCTTTACTATGTTTCTACCTCGCCAAATATGTCTAAGTTCTACTTGTGATTGGTACACGTTGAGAAACCTCTACACCCACCACATGTATTACCGTAGATTGAGTAGCTTCCTTTACATGATCTAAAATAATTGAGATGTCTCACGCTCTTCTCAGACTACATGATTACATCTTAAAACTGACTGAATGAGTTGAGAGCCTCCAATCTAACAAGTGTCGAGATACCCTCATCCTATAACCATTAAGATGCATTTAGAAGCTTGAGTGATGTAGGGACACCTCTCACTCTTGCTGATACAACTCAGAGTTACCTCCAAAAAGTGTTGAGATGCATTTTCTAAAGCATCAAGATGCCTTTGCCTTGGAAATAGAAGAATTGTTAACATTTTTAATTACTTTTACCATGGAAAAGATGCATTTACCTGTCATTTAAACCTTTACGAGGGTGTTGAGTTATCTATTTTCTGGCTGAGGGCTTTGAGAAACCTCTACCCTATCTCTTATTACAATAACTCTATTACCGATACTGACAACCAATCAAAAGAGTCGAGAAGCCTCTGTTGCCCCTTCTCAGTATCGGGATCTTAATATGTCTACTGAATCCTCTGCACCTTTACTAAGCATTGAGATAATATTAATCTTTTCACTATATTGCTTAAACATTGAGAATCCTCTGCGGGACATATCTAGAAGCGCATAGTTGATTTCGAACATATCTAAAATTTTAATACAAATCTATAAGGATGCATAGGTCCTTTGTAATGTAAGATCGACATACCTTAGTCCACTTAATAGAAATAAAAGCGTCATGAATAATGACTTGATCAAATAATGAAGCATAAAATGTGATAATATTAACTTCGCCACTGTCTAGCCAAAAAATTTGAGGTACATCTGTTACCCTCCGCGACATCAAGATACAAACATCCTCCCCCTTATCATCCACGTGATATGTATCCTCTACAGGAGAAGTCATCCTCCACGAGAGAAATCATCCTTCGCATGAGATATTATCCTCTGTGAGAAATGGCATTCTCTACAAGAAATATTTATCCTCTAAGTGAGCTTATGCCTCCAAAGATGTCTTCTAGATATATATTCCAAAGAAGTCATAACTCCTCTGCTAAACAATGACTATTATCATTTGCTTCTACAAGCATTGATATGATCCTACCTCTTTATTGGCATAAAGACATTTCTGCTTGTTGTTTGAACTTCTTCGGAATATATTGAATTATCTCATCTTTGATCAAGAGAATTGAGATACATCCATTTTGGCAGTAGGAAATTGTCCACTACCATTATATCTAGAGACGACTTTGCTAATGCAAAGATGATATCGTTTATCAATCGAGTTCTTCTAAAAAAGGTAATGGGTTGCCTCTATCTCGAGAATGAGAATTGTTGAGATGTCTCTGGTATTTAACAAAACCAAGAGATGATCATTATATTCTTCACCACAAGTCTTGAATCAACTCACTTTAGCATTCTCTCGACCAGTGAGGATAATTATGTTATACCTCCAAAGAAGACCCTCTGAAAACTATAACGTTCCCCCTATACACCACACTACCTCTAAAACCATCATCCACCAAGATTTCTCTCTAGAGTCCATACTCCTTAGATGGCTACAACCTCACGATTAGACTCATGACAGTCCCACATGATTTACTAGAGGTAAACTTGCTCCAACAGTTGTAACCATCTTGCTCAAGTCATCATACGGGTAACCATCGCCTTCATAGGTCTAACACCATCCACTCTATAATTGGGGTATTTATGCCCCGAGGAAAGGCTAAAAGGGGGGACTCTCTTTCCACGTTCTTCTCCTTCTTCACTCTCATTCCTCCTAGATGCTTTCATCCCTCTCATAGAAAAATACTGATTCACAGTCAAATCTTCACCAACTAAGGCTCTCCGCGTACTTAAAAAAGATTAATTATCAACGTCCGATAAAACAAATTTATTCCCATCAACAATTTTAAATTTAGGTTTTTATGTATTTTAGTTTTTAATTTAATTGTATACATAACTGTTGATTTTAGTTGTAATCAATTATATGTTTTAGATTTAAATAATTTTATGTATAAATAGTAAGTATAAGTTTTTAGTCAAGATTTTATTTTGATTTAAATTTCATAATGTATGTAAATATATTCGCGGTATTTTATATATGTAATTATATTTTTAGAAGATTCTCGTAAAAATAATAAGATAAATTCAGATTTTGTAAATTTTAAAAGTAGGATTTGTAAAATTAAAATATTCGAAAGGCTTGGGTTAAAAAATAGCAAAAAAAAACATTTAATTTTAATTGATTTTAATTACTTTATATTAAAATCAATTCATAATTAATCAAAAAAATTCATAACTATCTCGTTTTTCAGTTACTCTTGAATTTTAAGATTCTCAAAAATCTTTCAACTTTTCTCTAATTTATTCCTTTTCTTCGTATCTTTTCCACATTTATTTTCAACCAAACACCTCCATTTCCATTCTTCTCTCAAGATTAAACTAAAATGTTTTTTTTCTATCATGGTAGGGGTGTAAATAGACTTATTTTAACGAATAAATTATGTTTGTGTTCGTTTATTTATTTTCTAATGTATTCATGTTCATTTAAAGTTTCAGTATCTTATAGATATTCGTTTATTCATTTTTAAAGTTGTTCATGTTCGTTTGTTTAGTGTTTATAGGCATTAACGTTCGTGTTTGTCGCAACCGTCTTTCGGGTGGGCCATGAATTGGGCTTCAACTTGAATAAAAACGTTAGAGTCGCCATCTATCATTTAAAAAAAATTAGGCTGATCGAACACCATCTTACCTAATATGCGTTTTACCAGAAATATGTCGGATTCGGAAGTCGGTTACAATCAAGGAAGGATTAACACCCTTGAACTGCCCTTTCGGTACCATTTAATTTGTCGGTTGTCTTAATAGCAAAAATTAAAATTTAAAAACCCGATTCAAATTACTTACCTCTGATTGGTTGGAATTTCTCTAAAAAATGTCGAAAATGTTAGACAAGAAATAATAAATAAATGTTAAATAAATCAAAGGGGAAAAAATAAAAAAACATAAAAAATAATAAATAATAAATAAAAGGAAAAAAAATAAAAAAAGAAATAAATAGAAATAAATCAAAGGAAAGAATGAAAAAAATATAAAAAAATATTAAATAAATCAAAGGTTAATAAAAAATAAAATAAAATAAAAAAGTTAAAATTTAAAAATAATAAAATAAAACAATATGAAATAAAATAAATAATAATAATTTTAAAAAATAATAAAAATAATAAAATAAAAATTTAGAGGATCTAATTGAAACAAATTGAAATTAATGGATTACATTGGTACTAAAAATGAGCTACAAGAGAAAAAAATAAAGAGTTAGAGGGGTTAAATTGCAAAAAAATGTAAATTATAAATAGGGGCCGAATTGAATAAATTGAAA